GCTCAAGGCCATGTTCAGCGGCAGGATGGAGGTGCTGACGGACAGGGAAGGGAAGGCACACGACGCGGTTTGGTGGGGGGTTCTGAACTCCGGTCAGTTGGTGGTGTGGGGAAGGATGTGTGCCGAAAGGAACTTGGACCGTTAGGCAACCAACTCCCTTTGGCTGCATAGAAACGTGAAAATCATTCTGTCCCTGAGCAGGCTGTGGGTTGTCGTTCTGTCCCTGAGCAGGCTGTGGGTTGTCGTTCTGTCCCTGAGCAGGCTGTGGGTTGTCGTTCTGTCCCTGAGCAGGCTGTGGGTTGTCGTTCTGTCCCTGAGCAGGCTGTGGGTTGTCGTTCTGTCCCTGAGCAGGCTGTGGGTTGTCGTTCTGTCCCTGAGCAGGCTGTGGGTTGTCGTTCTGTCCCTGAGCAGGCTGTGGGTTGTCGTTCTGTCCCTGAGCAGGCTGTGGGTTGTCGTTCTGTCCCTGAGCAGGCTGTGGGTTGTTTTTCTGTCCCTGAGCAGGCTGTGGGTTGTCGTTCTGTCCCGTCAGGCAGTGGTGCTGTCCGAATGGTGCCCGTGGGGAGGGACACGAGGTTCCAGCCCCGGGGCTCGGAGCAGCCTGCCGGGCTGGGTCAGAATTTTTTCCACTCACAGTTTGCAGTGCTGTGGTGGTGTTGAGGTGGCATTGGGCAGTGTGTCACCTCCGGCTGGACACGGGATGCTGCCGTCATAGATCCCTGGTCGAGAGTAGGACAGGCAGTTTTGTGTGAGAGCCTCAGCCTGGATGGAAAACAAGGGCCATGTTCTGACTGCTCCGGCTGGAGAATCCAGCAGGGGGTTAGTTGACTTTCCTAGGTTGTTTTCTGTACCTAGACCCCAAAATAACAGGGAAGGGTTTGGCACTGTGTGCCTGCGTGCGTCCCACGCCGCTATTGTTCGGCAGCAGTCAGACATCCTGTTTCCTAGGGAATGTGGCTTCAGGGATCCTGTAAAATCACAAGAACTGCCTGTCTGCTGCTGCTTCCTGTGCAGTATCCCCTCTGTGCTCCCTCCTGGTCTGTCTGTCCTGTTCTTGCTCCTGGCTGGGGACTAGAACCGCATTTTCCCCCATGCTGGTTGTTCTAGGCTGGTTTGCCTTTTAGCATCCTCAGGGCACTTCTCTCTCTTTAACTCCAAAAGCAGCAGAAGATGTGTTTGGAAAACTGCCAAATCCTCCTTGTTAGGCCACAGAACTTACGCCAAATCTACTTGTTGCAAACCTTTGTGAATTCTCTCTCCTGGTCCATCCTTGGCTCTCTTGGTGCAAAGTTTCTAACTGCCCGGCGTTGTCCTGCAGTAGCCTCAGTGGTTTGTGCTGGGAAGCTCCATGGTTGTAGCTCAAGGCTTTGCTTTTGGGGTGCTGGAAAGCAGTGGGGACACCTGGGCAGTACCAGAGAGTTCCACTGCCAGGCTCTGTTGGGGATCAGCTTCAGTTTGCTCAAAGCCAGTAGAGACTTCCACTGGGTGAAATGGGATAAGTGTCTTGAGCAGTTTCAGGGAGCATCAGGCTTATTTAACCTCCCTAAGGACCTTTCTCCTGCCTCTGGTGTTGAGGTGACTGAGATGTGTTGGTTATTTTCAGGCTGGATCCTCATAGACCGTTGTGGGAAGCACTTTGGAACAATTTTAAACTATCTCCGAGATGACACCATTGCACTTCCGAAACACAGGCAGGAGATCCAGGAGCTGATGGCAGAAGCTAAATACTATCTCATCCAGGGCTTAGTGGACATGTGCCATGCAGCACTGCAGGTGAGAACAGATGTAGCCTGGAAGCTTTTTTGTGGATGTTTGGCCTGTGCTGCTCGAGGGGTCTGTGGGCTCAGCCTGAGGGATCTGAGGGCACAGTCTGAGGGATCTGTGGGCACAGTCTGAGGGATCTGAGGGCACAGCCTGAGGGATCGATCTGAGGGCACAGTCTGAGGGATCTGAGGGCACAGCCTGTCCTGCCTGAGGGATCTGTGGGCTTAGTCTGAGGGATCTGTGGGCACAGTCTGAGGGATCTGAGGGCACAGCCTGTCCTGCCTGAGGGATCTGTGGGCTTAGTCTGAGGGATCTGTGGGCACAGTCTGAGGGATCTGAGGGCACAGCCTGTCCTGCCTGAGGGATCTGTGGGCTTAGTCTGAGGGATCTGTGGGCACAGTCTGAGGGATCTGAGGGCACAGCCTGTCCTGCCTGAGGGATCTGTGGGCTTAGTCTGAGGGATCTGTGGGCACAGTCTGAGGGATCTGAGGGCACAGCCTGTCCTGCCTGAGGGATCTGTGGGCTTAGTCTGAGGGATCTGTGGGCACAGTCTGAGGGATCTGAGGGCACAGCCTGTCCTGCCTGAGGGATCTGTGGGCTTAGTCTGAGGGATCTGTGGGCACAGTCTGAGGGATCTGAGGGCACAGCCTGTGCTGCCCACACTTGGTTGTTGTGTTTGTGTCCCAAGGGCTGATGTTGTGCTGGTCACTCCCTGTTCCTGCCGAGTGCTCAGTGCACAGTGGCTGATGATGTTCTGTGCTGCAGTGGTTTGAGCTGATTAAAACCAGTGCAAACTCCTTCTATCCTTTCCTTCAAGAAAGGATGGAATAATGAACCCACTTAAACCAAATATGGCTGAGCTTGTCCTCGCTGTGGCTAAGGACATGCACCTGCATGCCAGTCTTTCAATTCCTGCT